TTAAAGTTTCTAACTTCGTAACAATGACCCCTTTATTAGTAAATTATCAATTAAATTAACAGTTATTAATGATATCAAAAATTTATTTTAATTAATAATTTAAATAATTTTATTACAAAAAAAAAACACAATTAAGAATTTTATTTTTTTAATTAATTTTATTAAGTAAGAAATTTTAATTTGGCAACATTATTTTTTAGCTTAAAAGCTAAAAAGTCATTAAAAAAATTAAAAAGCCAACAATCTCTTCCAAAAGTTAAATATTCCTTTTTCTTTATACTTTTTGTACATTTTTTCTTAAAAAACTAAAAAGTCATTCCAAACATACTAGTTTTTTTTATATCATATTTTAACTAAAAAGTTAAAAAATTATTAAAAAAACATGTTCCCAAACAAGGCGTAAAAGAGTATTTGTAATTTTTCAAATTACATAGAGTAATTCATATTTTAATAAGGGCTCATTTGACATCACTTTTTAGCCTAAAAGTCAAAAAATTATTAAAAAAATCAAAAAAACCAACAATATATACAAAAAAGTCAAACATTCTATTTTTTCTTTACTTATTGCATATTTTTTCATAAAAAATTGAAAAATCATTTTAAATATACTAATTTTTTGTATATTATATTTTAATTAAAAAATTTAAAAGTTATTAAAAAGTCTGTTGCCAAATGAGATTTAAACTTTAAAGTTATATTTGTAATTTATTAGTATTATTTTTTAAATCTATTTTTGTGGATCCCAAGAGAAATCTTGATAATTATAATAATGAGACAAAGACAAAAGGGCAAACTGTAATAATTGATAAAAAGACAAGAAAGTATGGTAGCAATTTTGCAAAATGGGAAGGACGCATGGATCGCGTGGCACGCATGGGAAAATGACCACAATAAAAAATATAAAATTTATTGGTCAATCTCCTTGGTAGATATTTAAAATTAAAATTACGACAATGCTACGTATCTTAAATTTTGTAACTTAAAAGTGACTCAAATGGTTAAAACGACGTCGTTTTGAGTACATAACAATATAAAAATGACCAAAACGACGTCGTTTTGGCCATTTAAACCACTTTTGAACTACAAAATTTGAGTTACGAGACATTTCCCTTAAAATTAAACTTAATTTTTAAGTTTAGTGTTACGACGGTCAAATAAAATATTAAAAGCATAAAAAAATATTGATTTTTATTTGCATTATTTAGTAACACATATAACTAATAGAACTTTTTAATTTTAATATATAAATATGATCATTATGAATTATTACTGGTTGGATTTTTTTATTTTATTTATTTTTCAAGGTTCGTTTGGCATTCACAGATATAGTCAGTTTTTTTGTGTCTTATTTGGTTTTTATTTTGGAACTTTTTAATTTTTATGAAAAGAAAAATATAATGATTTTAAATAAAAAATAATATTTTATCTTATTATTTTTTATAATTAATTTTATCCTCTCATGATTATTTAACCTAAAATGAATGCCAAACCTGGGCTCATAATTAAAGTACCAAAGTTGTGATTCAGTGGAAGGGACAGAACTAGGTCATGACCTAGAACGACTACAACCCTCTCACATCTTAAGAATTCTATATATATTAGGGTAAATTACACTCTTACCCTTAATATTTTTATTTAATATAAATTTTTTCTCATATTTAAAAAATTATGTTTTTCTCTTTGAAATTTGTAACTCATTATAAATTGCTCCTTGAATGATTGATGTTATATCTTAAATTTTTTTAAATAACTATTTTATCTTTTTTCTTACCATTTCTTCTTCCTATCATCATGACTATATTGTATAATTTTTTATCATTAAATTCTACCTGAACGTATTATTATTGAGTGATGATATACAAATATAAATTTTATATAAAATATTCAAATACAATGATATAATTTAATGATGATCTTTCACTTTAAAACAAAACATCTATAAACATGATTTATATTTGCAGCATATCACTATCACAACAGTTTTATGATATTTTTTATATATGAATAAAAAAAATTATTTTTATTTCCACCATCATTTTTCTTTCTCGTCTATTCACTCACATTTCTTACAATATCATCAAACACCGTCATTCACATTTATTACAGTATTACTGAATTTTTGTATTTTTTTTGTATTTGGTAAATTTTAAAAAAAAAATCACAAACTCCCAAAATATTATACTTTTTAAGTATATCTAGATTAGATGTATCTAAAAAATAAATAAATTAATTACTTAAAATATTAAAAAATTCAATAAAAATAAAAAATAAAACACAAAAAATAAAAAAAAAAAATTAATTTTTTTGTGTGAGTTAAACCGAAAAAGATTGTTATTTCTCTTGAAATGATATGAACAAAATGTCATCATTATTTTATTATTTTATACGTATAAAGGCTAAAAGACAAATATATCATTTTAATTGGACAAGAGGGTAAGTGTAATTTTTCAAATGTGAGGGGATCTATATTAAATAGAAACCTCACGGAGGGAGTGTTAGTGTAATTTATCATATATATTATTTATAGGAAAATTTTACTATGCACACTCACAATGGTATGCACTTTAAGTTATATCGTTTTTTTTAATTATGATTAATTTTTTTCTTTAGTTACAACTCATGAGATTTTTTATTATACCTTATCTATTATTTGGTTATGACTATACTTATTCCTAGTTATAACTCAAAAAATATAAAATTATACCATTTTTTTTCTTTAATTATAAAATATATACGATACACACCTTCTAAAAAATGTATACCATATTTTTTTTGATATTAATAAAAAGTTAAAATTACTAGCCCTTTAAATAATTTTAAATATTTTTGTTGAGTACTCCATAGAGTTTATTTTTAAATACTTTTTTTGTGTGTTTACAATAATATTACGACAGCCACATTATTATACCATATTTTGATTTATTAGGTAAATTGTTACTATTTTTTTTTATTTGGTATCCGAACCAATTTATGTATACCTCACCATTATATTAGTTTAATTGATTTCACCACTTAATATTTATTTTAATACAACGGTAACAATTCACCTACTTGACCAAATATAATATTGCAGCATTATTTACTCTGTTCGGTTTCAGTTTTCAACATTAATTTTTTAAAAAATTTTACTTTTTCTTTTTCCATATTTTTTATTTTGTTTTTACTGAATTTTTTTAATATTTTAAGCAGTTGTTTTTTAATTTTTAGACATAACTAACATAAATATACTTAAAAAATATAATATTTGTGAAATTTTTTTTAAAAAATTCACTAAATATTAAAAATACAAAAAATGAAAATTCAATACACTTTTAATATTTTTGTGTATTATTAGTTTTTTAAAATATTTTATTATTTAGATACATCTAAGTAAGGTACATCTAAAAAAGTAAAAAATTATTTAAAATTTTAAAAATATTCACTAAAAAAAATACGAAAAATAAAAAATTTAATTTTCACATAATTAAATTTAGAAAATTGAAACCAATACACTATTATTCCTTTTATATCTATCTATTGACAGTGCCACTTGTTGTCCAATAAAAAATTCTCAAGCGATTTTATATGTAATATACGTAATTACTCAATGAAAAGGATCAAATAATTTTATATGTAAATTGTCCCTAGGTGGTCTTTTTCCACCATGTAGCTATTTTATAACCTCTGGAGAAAATCAAAATAAAACACAAAGGCATGGATCAATTGATTTTTATTTTTAATTTTTATATTATTCGATATGAAATGAATACAATTAACAGCGTCTACGTTAAATGAGAACAATGAATATATAAAAGTCTGTTTTTGCACATATGTTTGGCCCTCTAAACGTAAAATTATGGTTTTGTCCCTATTTAGTTGCGAGTGAATTTAGATAGGGACAAGCAATTCATATGAGATGATTAAAGATATTTTCTCGTGTTCCCTAATCCTTCCTATATATTATTAATCCCATTTACAATTTCATAATATTACTAATTCTCATATTCCACAAAAATCATATCTGAAAATCAAACACACCCTAAGAACTGATGTAATCTACTATATTCATAACAGCAGTGATGCATACCCCCAGTGGGGGTCGCACCCCCAGTGAGGTGTCGCATCCCCACTGGCTGAAATCCAAAAAAAAAAAAAAAAAAAAAAAAAAAATTATATTTTCTCGTGTTCCCTAATCCTTCCTATATATTATTAATCCCATTTACAATTTCATAATATTACTAATTCTCATATCCCACAAAAATCGTATTGGAAAATCAAACACACCCTAAGAATTGATGTAATCTACTATATACATAAACCTAATGCTTTTATCTCACATGGTGAGAGATTTTGAGTCCAAAAAATATGTATATTTTTAAGTATGGAAAAACTATTATGAATTAGATTTGATTTTGTACACAAATTGAGACTTGCTCCCCAACTAGCAACTCTATTTAGCCTCCGTTTGGAAAGTGGGTTGATTTTTTTGGCTTTTGATTTTTTTGACTATTTTAGCCTGGACTAAAAAACTTGGTTTGGGAAGGACTTTTTGACTTTTTAGTTTTTTTGAGTTTTTTTGTGAGAGAAGAGTGTAATGATTATGGGTTGGATGTGATGTTTTGTTTGTTGTAGCTAAAATAGCCTATTTTGTATTTTGTGGCTATTTTAGCCCCAACCTTCCTTGCCAAACGGACCCTTAATTTGATACATGCATGGGGAGCTTTTAAGACTTTTTCTTCTAACTTTTCACCAATGAAAAAAAGATATTGAAGCAGTTCCATTCTTTAGATCTGGCTATCCAAACATAGCTTTACAATGTTTAAGAACGAAATTGACAAAACTAAAGCTTTGAATAGCAAATTGGTACGAAATGTAAATTTTGAAGAACATTTGAAAAAACAATTATCATTTCCTTAATAATTTAGAAGATAGTTCAAAATTCGATCATTATGAAATTGATATATTAAAAATTAAAGGAGTAAGAATATTGTTGCATATGACAAAAGGACAAATACAAATATTTTATTTATTTATTTATTTTTCTATTAATGCCTAATGTGAAAAGGGCTACACAAGGGGGGTAGCCCTCCCCCTTCATTTTATTTATTACTTCAAATATATAAGAAAGTGTCATTGAAATTAAACAGTCTTGATGGGTACAATTTATGTTGACAAAGAGGGTAATAGGCCATGGAGGCAAAATATCACTATTCAATTGCTCTTATTAACATTCGAAAACAGAACAAGCCTTTAAAACACCAAGCATATTACATTAGACTCAATCACTAGAACAACAACCTCCCAAGATGATTAACCATTTTATTTGTTTTGTGGAGAGTAGTGACAATAGCTGCATGAGGATGGCAAGATTAACTTGAGCTGAGAGAATTTTAATTTTAATTTTCTTTATTAAGATGGCAATTTGACTTTGTTACGGTATTCTGCAAGTGCCCATAACGGATATATATTTCTGTAGGCTGCATAATGTAACATACAGTTCTTCATGAAAACTCCGGTAATTTCCTGCGTTTGTCAAAAAAAAAGAAGGGAAGAATGTAAATTTATGATCAAAAGTAAAATAATATTTATCAAAGAACTGAAATTAATTTTTGTTTGTCTTCTCTTTTGCGTATCATATTTATGACAGATGGTAAAATTGGTTGTGTCGTAGAGAATTGATGAATACCTCTTGGGGGAAATCTCCGTTTTCCATTTGGGAATTGATCAGCAACTTTGCAGCACGATGTAGAGGTCTTGGGTCTCTTTCGGCCTAGTTAGTTAGAGAATTTAAAGAACATCACAAATTTTATTTTGAATATTGTTTGTGTTAATTTGTTGAGCATGTATAAGTAGATGAAGTTTTACCTGGCCGGAATGAATTAGACCCATCATGGCCCATGAAGTATGCACCAAATTGGCTCGATTCTCTTCCAGTGGTACATATTTCTGTTGTGACACAAAGAATATAGAATTACTTAATTAATTAATTATACATGGAAATAAATGAATTAATCATTAAAAGTAAAGTTAACTAGCTAGCTAGCTAGTATGTATTGATTTTGGTTGAGGATTCATATTTTGGAAGGGAGTTAAAAAATAAACCTTGAGGGGACTAGAAAGGTAACTCTCTCCCCAACCTCCATTGTCTCGTTGGGATGACAACAAAAATTCAACACCTTTACGGATGGCTGCACAATTGTTGTATGTCTTCCCTGCTGCTGCCAACCCTCCCAGCGCAAACCATGTCCCGTACGTGAAGCAAACCCCCCAATTCCCATACCTACCACATTCACATTCACAATTGCATGAGAGAGAAATCTAGCAGGTTCAAACAAAACTAAGACATGTATTCTAATAATGTGAGATCAATTCTTTTTCATTATATTCTGCTATGTTAATAGTTATATGCTCAATTAAATTAAATAAATTCATATAATTTTTTATACTATTGCATCTCATGCTTGTGTAGGCCTTTCACAGAAATATTTCCATTTACAGTAATTACACACACACACACACAGAAAGTTGGGAACAACATACCATGACCCATCTGGCATTTGGATATCTTCAAGGAAACGAACTGCGTTTTTGATGAAAACTTCAATCTCCTTTTTGCGGTGTCCTGGATATAATTTCATGAATAACACAAAGGCCTGGATTGATGCTGCTGTGCATTCTACGTACTCGTGTTCAATTACAATATCAGCAAAGAACTCTGTAGGATTAAGAAGCTGGCCAAAAGAAAAGAAAAAAAAAAAGAAAAGAAAGTTCAAAATTGCAAATTAAATGAAAAAAGGGTGTTTGGGTTTGCACTGCAAAAAAGGCATTAAGAAGTATTACCTCTAGCCAAGCCCCTGCTTTTACTGGCTCCCAAGCTGCTAAACCCCCAGTTTTACTCTGTAAACATTGAGAGAAAAAAAAAAAAAAATTATATATTTGTCATACGATCTCAATGTATGCATTAAAAATATATACAAATATTATGTAAAAAAGTGCATTAAGAAGATTTTGACAATTCAGTGAGCGGTTTTTAGCATGACCCGTTCTTTTAAACCATTTACTTGAGCTGTATTAAGAATTAAGAAAAATTGAGTGTGCTAATGCTATTGTACAATTTTAAATTACAGAAGTGTTACCTGTAATGAAAGCATGACATTCACAGCATCATACAATCTTTCAGCCTCATGTTTTTCACCAACAATTTCAGGTGGCAATTGAGACAGCAACAGACAACACTGCAAAAGGAAAAGAACTCATTCATATTTATAGCACAACATCAAATTGTACTTTAAAAAACAAAAAGAGCAAAAACAAAAGAAACAAAGAAAGAAAATGTCACCTTAAACCCTTCTGCTGTGCAATCTGAGACTTGCCAACCATGATCTTGATCAGAGAAAGTCCAAGATCCCTTAGAAATGTGCCTGAACATCTTTTTAAAATCACCAGAAGGGTTGTCCTTCACCTTTGAAATTGAAGGATAAGAAGAGAAAGAAACAGGGAAGAACGAATAAAATTGATTGTTATTATAAATTATAATTTGAAAATAAACTCAAAAATATTTATAAAATTAATAACAATTTGAGAAAAAAGAAAATAAAAGATAAACCTGTGATTTCTTTATGAAATCATGGCCTTTCCTAAGAACTTCCCCTGCTTCTTCAAGCATATTGCAAGCCAATATTGCTTGAACGGAAAAACCTGTGTCCCATTCTTGACTGCCAAAACTCTGCGATTAAAAATAAAAAATAAAAAGAGAGGAGACATATCAGAAATAGCATGGTCCTCCATTCTTTTTTTATTTTATTTATTTATTTATACAAATAACTAGTAGTACCTGCATTTTAATTCCATCTTCAGCAACCCAGATGTAATCTGGGATTCTAGCAAGATGCTTCTTAAAATAATCACCATTAGGATCTTCCACCCAACAAGAAAGCATGCATAAAACCTTCTCGACACATCCGATGGTAATGTACCGACTATTTTCATCTTCATAGTGGATGTACTCCATTGTCTTTGCAAGTGCTTTCTCTCTCAATTTGTTGAAGGGCCAACTCGTAAGCAATGGCTCTGTCGTTATGTACAGACTATCCCACAACAAATCCTGTATTAGAGGATGCGGGTAATACAAATCTTCCTGCAATGTAATGCCATGGCACCACCACCCAGTAATTTGTTACAAATTCATTAATTTCAACAATAAGTTTAAAAACACAGAAACTAAACAAGGGATATAGTTATGGAAAGGATGGACATACCTTAGCACAAACATGCCGGTATTTCTTCCAATTAACTTCGTCATAAGGTTGAGAATGAAGCTCTTTCCTCAATTGTTTAACAAGATCAGTAATTGGTCCAACAAATCTCTTCCCGTATAGGTATGACATTGGCATGTAAACCATCCTACAGTAGCACCACATTTTTGCTGCATTCAAGTCATCAATATAAAAAGTTATAAGCTTTTTTTTGTTTTTTTTTCAAATGTAAAGTTTAACATAACAAACTTAGAAGTAGATCAACCTAAATACCTGGATGCATAGGAAGATAAGAAGGCAAGATCCAGAACTCTGGTGGCATGGGGATGCACTTCCAATTAACTTCATCATAAGGTTGAGAATGAAGCTCTTTCCTCAATTGTTTAACAAGATCAGTAATTGGTCCAACAAATCTCTTCCCATATAGGTATGACATTGGCATGTAAACCATCCTACAGTAGCACCACATTTTTGCTGCATTCAAGTCATCAATATAAAAAGTCATAAGCTTTTTATTTTATTTTATTTTATTTTTCAAATGTATAGTATAATATAACAAACTTAAAAGTAGATCAACCTAAATACCTGGATGCATAGGAAGACAAGAAGGCATGATCCAGAACTCTGGTGGCATGGGGTTGCACCCTGACCAATCGAATAGACCAAATATCTACACAAAACCAAATTAAAAAAAATAAATTACATAAATTAATTATATTAAAAATGATGAATAAGATGAGATTGAGATTGAGATTGAAATAGTAGTGAGTGAGTACCGAAAGCCAAGTCTTTCCCCAAGAGGGCATAGCAACAACACCGCCATGATCATGGATCCATTTACGACCTCTTTCAACAGCATTGTTTCGACCACCAAATGGGCCATCTCCCAGAATTCGCATGCATATGTAGCTGAGTACAGTACAAAACATCATGCTGTGCCCTTCTATGTGGAATCCCCATCCTCCGTCTTCATTCTATAGTCATCAATTATTTATTAATCACACCAATAAAAAATCACACATCCATCCAGACATACATTCACACATAAAGATTTTATCATATTATTACTTGGTGGTTGTATACGTATCGAAGAATCTCCTTTTTGTGTTCTGGTGAAAATGTTTCGTCCAGATGCCCTGTAATGTACAAACACATCACCTGCACCATCATGTAGTACAACCATGTATTAGTATGCCTTTCTAGATAGTAATTTCACATGTACCAAATTCAATCATAAAATCAGACACAAAACACTTGTCTCATTGTGCAATCTTTTTTATTTTTATTTTTTTGAAGTATTAAAAAAAATTAAAATTGGGCAGTGGCATGCATGTATACCAGTGGAGGAAGAAAGAACAAGGGGCCAGCATTCTCAGCAGCCCAATGGCCATCTTTGGTCTGCATAGCAGAAAAGAAGCGTAGCGCCCTCTTGAGGGTGATGTTGGCAGCCTCATGCGTTACATCCTCGTCTTCACCAACCTTTACTGGTGGTATTGTTTGTTCAAAATTATTTTCCTTCAACATCTGCATAGAAATGGAAACACAACATGATTTAATTGTTAGATTTAAAATTTAAATCTTATGATTTTTTTTATAAAAAAATTACTCCATTTGATAGGAAATGGTGTATTAATCAACCCAACTATGGACTTAGAACCTTCAATCTCAACAATTCTTGTGTTTAAGCCTTCCATTAAATGTCTGTCAATTAATAGTTTGAGATTAATACTGATATAATCAGAAAAAGTTGATTAGTTTAGGCGAGAAAATGATTAAATCAGCTCATATATAAAAAAATTCTTAGGATATTAAATGATCTCAGAACAAATTATATAGTTTTTTATTTTTTATTTTTTATATATATTTTGAAAGACATATTGAAAAAGAAAAGTTAGTTAAAAATTATTTTTTTTTTATTTTTTTAAAATAAAAAATATAAAAGATAATATAATTTAAAATAAATTAAAAGTTAAAAATTAATTTTAATAAACTTCTCAAAAATTTTCTTCTCCAAACTCCTCTGCTTTGTCTGATATATGCCAAAATTTATCAGTGAGTGGACTTGGTTTTCGATACTTGTGAATTATCGTATATGATCCCAAATCAATTACGATCATAAAAAAAAATAGCCTCGAGATTGGACTCTATTAAACCTGTCTTTTTCATTAGTGAAAGGTTAAAATTGTCAACTTGACTTTTTTTTATCTGGTCAATCGACACCAAAGTTAATATGGTGGTCCCAAACTATAGAATTCCTATTCCGATCCAAAAAAAAAAAAACTAAAGAATTCTTATATAATTTTGCTTCTTTGAAAAAGGTGCCTCTTTGAAAAAGTGTTTGTAGTTTCAAGGTAGGGATGAGGAGGAATCAGCAGTATTTTCACCATTCATTTTGTCTTCTTAATGATTCTTCCAGAATAAAAAATAATAATAATAATAATAATAAAATAAAAACTCAATAATCATTAATATTTTTTGCCAAATTTTTTTGAATTGGGATAATGTTTTGAATTTTTAGTCTATCATAATTGGGACAAAATTTGACATGATAATTTGGGACCAACCCAATAATTTTCCCAATTGCATTTAGTGATTTAAAGGCGAGGATGAAGATGAGGATGAGGATTAGTCATTTAAAGGCAAGGATGAGGACGAGGACGAGGATGAGGATGAGGTTCGTATTTTTGTTTGGTTTCAATTTTCCCAAAATTGAATTTTTTATTATTCGTATTTTTTTTTGTTTTTAATAAATATTTTTTAAATTTTAAGTAATTTTTTTACTTTTGTAGATGCACATTACTTAGATATTTCTAAGTAGTAAAATATTTGTCAAAAAAAATTAATAAATACATAAAAATACAAAAAAAATTATTGCATTTTTGTATTTTTTGATATTTAGTGTATTTTTTTTTAAAGAAAATTTCACAAATATTATACTTTTTAAGTGTATTTATGTTAGGTTTGTCAAAAAATTAAAAAAATTACTTAAAATATTAAAAAAAATCATTGAAAACATTAAAATACGAAAAGTAAAAAAATAAAATTTTCTGAAAATTATTTTTAAAAAAACAGAACGAAACAAGTTTATCACTCATGACTTCTTGATTCTTTTAAAATGGAAAAGGCTTCGTATATCACTGACTCAACATGTTTTGAAAAGTGGGTAAAAAGTTAATTTTTTTGATTTTTTGACTTTTTTTGACAAAAAAATTGACTTTTTTAATGATTTTTTTGTATTTTTTTGGAAAAACTTGATAAAAAATCAAAAAATTGACTTTTTACCAAATTCTCAAATTGCCCCATACTTTCTTGTCACAATTAATTTATTATTTGGTACAACTTATTCACAATCATTATATATCCCATATATATATATATATATATATATTAATACATAAAAATATAAAAAATTTACTGAATTCTCCTATTTTTTTTTTTGTATTTTTGGTATTTAGTGAATTTTTAAAAGGTTTTTTTGACAATTTTTTTACGTTTTAGGTATATTTATGTTAGGTATGTCAAAAAATTAAAAAAATTACTTAAAATATTAAAAAAAATCATTGAAAACATTAAAATACGAAAAGTAAAAAAATAAAATTTTCTAAAAATTATTTTTAAAAAAACAGAACCAAACAAGTTTATCACTCATGACTTCTTGATTCTTTTAAAATGGAAAAGGCTTCGTATATCACTGACTCAACATGTTTTGAAAAGTGGATAAAAAGTTAATTTTTTTGATTTTTTGACTTTTTTTGACAAAAAAATTGACTTTTTTAATGATTTTTTTGTATTTTTTTGGAAAAACTTGATAAAAAATCAAAAAATTGACTTTTTACCAAATTCTCAAATTGCCCCATACTTTCTTATCACAATTAATTTATTATTTGGTACAACTTATTCACAATCATTATATATCCCATATATATATATATATATATATTTAGATAGGGAAATATATCCAATATTTGAATGTGCGAAATTAAATAATTAGATGTGATAAAAATAAAAATAAAAATAAAAATGATACGTGTAAAGCACCTCCAACAACCACTTAAACACATTTTTTTATTCCACTATTTTGAGGAGCTAAAATTTAAAAATACCAGAGGCTCCGTTTGGCAAGAGCGGGACTTTTTTGGCTATTTTAGCCACAAAAGACAAAATAGGCTATTTTAGCCACAAAAAACAAAATATCACATCCAACCCATAATCATTACATTCTTCTCTCACAAAAAAAGTCAAAAAAGTCAAAAAGCCAAAAAATCTTTCCCAAACCAAACTTTTTAGCTCAGACTAAAATAGCCAAAAAAACTAAAAAGTCAAAAAGGTAACCTACTTCCAAAACGGAGGCAGAATAACAAATATCGCTAATCCTAACTTGCTTTGGAGTGTACATTACCCTCCTTATATTTAGAAAGGACGAAATCCTTTCCTAGCATAAACTATCATTTTTTTTCTCTTGAAAAAAGGAATAAAAAAATAGTATTTATAACACCTGATAGGGTTGTTTCAAAGAACAAAAAAATATATATATTAAAAAAAATTTATAATCTCAACATACTTTCTCTATATCTTAAAATATTTTTAAAAATATTTACATATCCTTTTCACGCTTTTCAATACTAACAACTTTAGCATTTTTCTTTAATTGAAAAAAGAGAAAGAGTGGGAATCATCGTTGAGACAGTAGAAAATGACTCTTTAAAATATAAAAATCTACCTTTTCATCCTAATTTAAGGTAAATATTGCTGGACTAAAAAGTCAAAAAAAGGAAGGAAAGAAAAGTATTTATCAATCAATTTTATTAATTAAATTTATTTACTTATAAATCTTGATTGATAAATTTCTTATTATAAATTTATTTATAAAAATAAAAAAAAACTAATAAATTTATCAATCAGATTTAATGTGTAATAAATCTCAAAAGTAAGACTTAATAATAATTTATCAAAAAAAAACCAATTTTTTAAAAAAAAAATTAAAAAATTACTAAAAAAATTAAATCATAAACACAGTCATTCATTTTTTTTTACAATTTAAAAAAATTATTTTCAAAAATATTAATTCTTTTCTTTTAGGATGCTTAGTCTCGTTTATAAACATATTATTTTAATAATTTTTTAATTTTTATAAAAAGATATATAAAAAAATAAAAAAAATGATGCGATAACTTATGATTTCTTTTGACTTTTGCCTAAAATATATAGTTCACAAATCATGTCTTAATAATATGAGAGAGAGAAAGAAAGAGACAGAACCTGAAGGCGGAGAAGAACATCGCCACTAGGCTTGACACGAGAGCGGTTGAGAGTGAACGATTCACGAGCCTTTTCAACCTCGGCTCGTTCTTCAGGCGTACCATAATTTGGATCAAACTCCCATATTTGTCGCCCCACAAAATTGTTAGTGCTGTATAGGTATGGCTCATATGGACCCGCTCCTTCTGCTACCTTCAACCTCCACATTCTCCTACCAACAAACTAGTATACATATATATATATTACCATTTTTTGTCACTTATATCATTAATTCTATCAAAACTTTAAATGAAAAATATATTTTTCGTATGTGGAATGAATAGAAGAAATATATGAGAGCACGCATAGAAAGAATAGATTGAGTGCAAGAAATGAGTTTTGAACTCAATACCTCTTACAAATAAAATTGTTCTAAGAATTTAATTTATTAAGAAATGTGTTTAAAAAAAAAAAATGACCCATGTATATTAAGGTCTCGTTTGGGAACAGGCTAATTTAGTAACTTTTTGGCTATTTGGCTAAAAAGGTAGGTAAAAAAAACTTGTATGTTTGGGATGACTTTTTGGCTAATTACGAAAAGATGTGCAAAAAGTAGAGAGAAAAGAGAATCTTTGACTTTTTGGTATGGGTTGTTGGTTTTTTGACTAATTTAGTAACTTTTTGGCTAATTGGCTAAAATAGCCTCTTGCCAAACGAGGCCTAAAGAAGAGTAAAATCTGATAGATTTATAAGTAACCAATACCCAATAAGATCTCTCTCACAAAAGCTTCATTCAATAGCTCATCTTTCCTCTACATATGATAAAAGTAAGTAGCTATTAAGAGATCTTCTAACAAAACTTCAAATATACAAACATTTATTCCTTCCCTCCACTTGGTTGTTTGAATTGAATGGTAGTGGCTTTGTCATGATTATCACCACTTCTTTAACAACTAATAAATTTCACAAACATGTTTTATTATCATCCAAGTGGATCTTGTTTCATTTTTTTTTTAAATTTTATTATTACATAATACATCAGTTAATAAAAAATTTATTAAATTTATACAACTTTTTCATTTTTATAGTCAAAAAATAGCTTCATTAACTGAAGTATTTGCCTCCAAAATGCCAAACCAAAAGAAAAAAGAAAAAGACAGAAAAAAAGCAAAGAGAGAGAGAGAGAGAGAGAGTTGGATTACCAGTTGTAGTTAGGCACTTTAGTCTGCTGAAAAAGTCAGCTATTAATTACTTTCAGATTCAGGCAAGCACTGTGAGAGAGTGAGAGAGAGGACTAGAAGATGAGAGAGAGAGGAGGTGGTGGTAGAGAAATTGTGGTTGGCCAAAACACAAGTGTGTGCCTATTGAAGAGAAAAGAAGAGAAACACTCATTTATATACAGGGAGGAAAAAAATCTAGTATTATATTCTACATTTTGGGAGTTATCGTTGAAGCCACCCCCATTTGTATAAATAAAAATAAAAAATAAAACTCCTTATATTCCACATGTTGGGGTTTCTTTGACGTAAGCTTCCCACGTGGTTCCTAATTAACACCGCCCAAAAGGATAAGAATAGAAAGGTTCATTTGGATGTTTTTTTTTTTTTTTGAAAAACAAGTTAATAGTTAATTTTTTAACTTTTTTTTTAAAAAAGTGTGTAAGTAAATAAAAAAAAGTAATTGTAATTCAAAAAAATTAAAAAATTAAAAAAATTAACTTTTAGTTGAGTTTCTAAAATAGGCCTAAAGTTAAAATCTTGAAGGTCCATTAAGATTAAAATTTATTTTATTTTATGTTTTTTAATCGGATGGTTAGGTCAACTTGTATGTATTTCGATTAATTCTAAAATCATGAAATTAATGATCAGATAAATATCAATTGGTCCCAACGAGTGACTCGAAATAGAAATTCTAAATTTTATTCTCAAGTTTTTACAACTCGACAAACCCTTTGAAATTTTGCATAATCTGTATGTAATTTTGTATGTGCATGAAAAAGTCAAAAACCCTCGAGATATTGATTCGTTATTATGTTTCAATTTTAAACAGTGAATATCAATCACAATCAACCAATCAACAACAAATCGGTACAACGATTTAACGTGAAAAAAAATCACAATTAGTACACCTCCAATTATGATAAAACATTACGAGCCAAAGTCATAAAAACAATTCGATAGGAAGGCAAAAAATGAATTACATATAAGTACTCTCAATTACATAGCAAATTCATGCCCGAATTAAACCAAACCCGATGTGTCTCTTCTACCACCGCCTTCACCTCGGAATTGCTTCGTCCAACGTTAAATTCACAATGCCAATGTTGAATCCACGACGATGAGCCACTTTGGAATCTACAAAAACTTTAGGCTCAAGTTTTGTTATAAAAAAATGATTTTATGGTGATTTTAACGTGAAATTAAAGTAGATCCCAACCACCGGTTGAGGTGGGATCAAATGGGTTTAGATTCTTTGTAACAAGATCTTTACACCATAAAAAGAATAACAAAAAATCATTAAAAATTGAATGAGAAATTGTCTCATAAAGTTAGCTTCATGAATGAGATATTAGGAATAGCGTATAATTACCTATCACACATTGATTGTAAATGAACGTATTGATGAGTATTTAAACCTTAAGATTTTGATAAGGGTATGAGCCCTTTAAGGCATCCAAATTTTTCGAAGGAATAGAGTTATGAATGCTTTAAAGATGGGATTGGCCCAAAACTATAGTCCAAGTTGGTTATGCGAAAATGGACATGCGCACGCACGTCGCCCACCTGGACCGAACTAGGTCGGGTTCGAGTCTGTGGATTGTGGATCGTAGGTCTTGGGCTTGAGGCTTGAGGCTTGTTAAAGTGGGTTAGGTTGGGGCTGAGTCGAATAGGTGGTCCACCAACCTAATGGCTAAGTCTGTTAGGTGGCTGTAGATATACACACATGTGTATATAGAGTGTGTGATTTGTTGCTAGCCTTCATGGCTGGGAGGCTCCTCTTCTCTTCTCCATTATCTATAAAAGGAGGCCATCTTCCTTGGTTTCCACACAGAAAATTCTTTGCTCTCATATTATAATCAGTTTACTCCTATAATATTAATTTTCCTATATGAAAGTAAAAGAGTGTTGTCGTTGTCAGTTTGCCAGAACTAAACAGAATATGCATGTGCGTTAGCGGGTTCTAGCCGTCGTATATTGGGAAACAGACATCGACATACATCCAGCACCTACGGTGAAGTGGTGAATCTGTTTTAAGGAGAATATAATATCACACAGGCTTCAGTTTGCATTTTCTTCTTGTTATGTATTTCTGTTCATCTATTTGTAATTTCTAGCATGATTTCTTATTCTATATTTTTCAATTTGATTAAATATGAATTTGTTTGTTTTATTTAAATACATAATTTGTACAATAATCTTAAAACAGATTTTATGTTTCCCATAAAATTGGACAAATAAATTCATAATAATTTATATTAGATTAATTTCCCCACTGTATGAGTTCTCTGCTTTGCCCCTGTTAATTGGAAAAAATTACAGAGCATGTTCTCTGGCAATTGTAAATTATGAATAGCCCACTGTTTCATTTGTTTGTGATTCAATTGATATGTATTTAATTTGTTAGGGTTTTATTCTTGGCAATCTTGTTTGACAAAACTCCTTTCAGTTGTACTTGTTTTCGTACTTTTATTTCAGTGAGCCTATGAGTTTTTAGATGCGAGTCTAACTCGAATTGTGCCTTACAGAGAAGTTTATGGTGCTAATTCTTTCATGATTGCCATTTCACTGACTATGACGGGGATCGAGCTGCCCGGTCAGCTTGCGGAGGTCCAGGGTGCAGCGCCCCTTGGCTGGTCCGAGGCAGTGCCACGGTAGGGTTGAGGGGCAGCGCCACCGAAGTAAAATGCAAAAATGCATACAACGTTGCCTGTCTGCTCGAGCGGAGAATGTTGGGTTCTAACAGTTTGACCTGTCTGCAAATATACTGTGAGGTCTATTTTTACGCTCAAGCGTCCATTTCCCTGCTCAAGCGTACATCATGGTTTGGAACATGCGATGTAGAGTCCCTGCTCAAGCGTCTATTCCCACGCTCGAGCGGACCTCGCGATCTCAGCCTCTATAAAACCTCAAGTTGCTCCAAATCTAGGGTTAGGTTTTCAGATCTTCTTTAAGGGTTTTAGGGTTTTCTTTTGAGGCTATTTTGAGGCTATTTTGCTAGTTTTCTTTGATGTTTGATTGAGTATTCTACTCATGGTTTAAGAAGTATATATCAAAGGATTGTTTGTTTATTCAATACAAAAGAGAGTGTTGTTCTTCGGTGGATTCCGTGGAATTCGAGCCTGAAACTTTGGTGGATTCTAGAGTGGTTCATTGTCGTGGATTTGACATCGGCGTTGTAAATTCAACGTTGAGCAAGACAATTTTAAGATGAAGATGGTGGTGGAAGAGGCACATTGGGGTAGGTTCGATTCGGGCGTGGATTCACTAGATAATTGAGAGTACACTTGTGTAATTCCTTTATGTCTTCTTAGTAGATTGTTTTGTGGCTTTTTCCTATGGTTTTTTTATTATAATTGGAGGTGCTCAAATTTTGATTTTTTCACGTTAAAATTGTTGTGTCAATTTGTCTTGATTGTTTGATTGAGATTGTTTTACTGCTTAAGATTGATACATAATCACAAATCAATAACTAGGGGATTTCTAGCTTTTCAATTGGTATCAGAGCAAGTCGCTTTATTTATAAAAAAAAAAAAATCTTTTAGAGTGAGATCTTGTTTGATTTGTGATAATGGATTCAATTCGTGAGGGAAATTCTATGGTTCGACCACCCCTACTTGACGGATCCAATTATTCTTTTTGGAAAGCTCGGATGAGATCGTTTTTAAAATCTATTAATGAAAAAGTTTGGCAATCTATCATGTATGGGTGGGCTGAACCGACGATTACCGTTGATGGAGTAACCTTCCCCAAACCAATTGATAAGTGGGACCCAATTGATTATCAAAATGGTAGCTGGAATAGTAAAACTATCAATTCTCTCTTTTGCGCCATCACACCTGAAAAGTTTAGTCGAATTTGCAATTATAAAGTCGCAAAAGAGGCTTAGGATATCTTACAAACTATTCATGAGGGCACTTCTTCTATTAAACGCTCAAAACTTCAAAGTCTCAAGTCTAGTTTCGAAAACCTTTCAATGAAAGATAGTGAGACCTTTGATGAATTTTATGC